TCCTTACCCAGGTTTTGAAACCGAGGTTCTAGCAACCCTTTTGAAACACCTATTTTCTGAAACACAGCTTTCTGAACTTAGGCCGACGTCATGGGTATGTGGAGACATCGAGTAAATTCCCCAACAAAACTTGAATACTTTAGGCAGGAGTTCTCCATCCCAGCCGATGTTCACCTTAGGCTAGCTGGGAATGGTGATTCCATCATGCCCACAGATCATACAATGCCCTTTCCTATTGTAGCCTTTACTGAATGTGGACTCCGGCTTCCACTCAATCCCCTCTTTCGCGAGGTTCTCCACTTCTATAGGTTGAACCCTATGCAACTTACCATCAACTCTTATCGAGTGATTAATGGTATCATAGCCCTAGCTAGGCAAGAGAACGTTAGGATCACCCTTGACGATATCCAGTTTTGTTATACCATGTGCCCTCTTAATCTGAAGGAAAGAGGTTATGTCTACTACCTGAAACCGAGGTCCACTGAGTTCAAAATTGTAGCCGACCTCCCGGATTCCAACAAGGGAGCCGGGGATGACTTTGTCATTGCTTCGGAAAATTGAGAATTTGGCCCAGACGAAGATGTTCACCTCTACCCTCTTCCTCGAACAGTTAAAGAGGGCAAGGGTAAGAGCCCAGTGTCAATACTTAGTTGTTTCTTTTCCAAGTTTCCAAAAACTCTGTCTGTTTCTAATGTTGGTTTTGCTTGTCTTGCAGATCTTCATCAGCCACCCAAAAACTTTCGTCAATCCTTCTTCCCTGGAAAAGATTTAAAGAAGCTTCTAGAACTTCCAATTCACAAGCGCAAGGCTCCCCTGTTACTAAACTTTATCCCGACATACAAATCCACATTGCCCGACGTCCCGAAGAAAAAGAAGAAGAGCCTCTCTCCACCTACTACCATAACTATAACCGCTTCTTCATCCCGAACAGATCAAGAGTCCACATCTGACCCTATCAATCAACCATCCACTTCGGCCCCATTCTTGATCCCAATACCAGAAAGAAAACGTCGGCGACAATGGGGTGCCTCTCTTTTATAGTTAACTCAATCCAAGTCCTACTAGAAGCATGACTTCTATAGACTTCAATTTAGTGATTACTTAGGATTTCTCAAGAGATAAAGATAAACTCCCTAAGAGCTTTATCCTTATCTTGGCTAAGTCCCCTCTTTGTCCTAGGACTCTTGTCCCTTATCCGCTTATCTCGGATTCCGATATCTTCGGAGATAACCTCGGCAACTCCGAAATCACCTCGACGTAATTTCCATGACACGTGGTACCTCGGCCAAACACGTCGGCGTCGTCATGCCACGTGCTGGTACCCAAGAAATATGTCCCCACAACTGCCCCCTAGGTTCTATTACCTCGGCATCCTGAGGAGATGGAACCTACATCGATATTTCTTTCTGCATAATGGCTCAAAAACTGTTTGGCCGAAATAATTTATTTTTAAGCCGATGTGCTCTCTTCGGGGAATAAGAATTCAAATTTACTCTATCACGCGCATGAGCTGTCATGCACATCTAACCGTTCATTTCACGTGCTTTGTCTTTATTGGCCCGTGTCTGTGACGCGCCTACAAGCTGTCTTTTATTCGCCTGCGCCGTCTGACGTATCCGGTGCTCTAGGCGCAATAAATGCCCTGTTTTGCCGCCGTTTTACGTTTTTTACAAAACTTTTCTTTCCCTCTTCCTTTCTCCACTTTTCGTATTCTGATTTCTTGCTTTTTCTCTCTCTAAAAGCTTCAGCATTCTTCGAATCTGCCATTGCTCTAAGCCCCAATTTCTGCGACCATCTTAATTCTCCATCCCTGCGAAGCTTTTGCCACTGTTTCATCTGTCGTTTGATCTCGGTGAATTTTGCTCCGGCTTCACTTTATCTGGTAAGCAACTGGCCCCCCCCCCTTTAACCCCTTTTGTTCAGTTCTTGATTTAGTTCTGGAGTTTTCTGCTATTACTGTTCTTCTTAAGCTTTATTTGTGAATCATTCACCTGAATGCGTCTTATTGCATGATTTTTTCACATGCCATGAACACTTGCACTGTTTCACCACTGTCCTTGGCCCTTAACCCTTTGTATTCTTCGTGTTCTTGATAGCCCATCCCTGTTCTTGTCTCTGAAACTTCGCTTTTGTTCTCTGTTTTCTGTGTTTTTACCAGATCTGTGCCCTCGATCCTCATCTTTATAATTTTAGGTTTGGGATTCGTCTGTAAAACCTTCAATCTTTAAGAAAAACTGAAACAAACCTTACTTGCCCTTTCCCAGGTTTTGAAACCGAGGTTCTAGCAACCCTTTTGAAACACCTATTTTCTGAAACACAACTTTCTGAACTTAGGCCGACGTTATGGGTATGTGGAGACATCGAGTAAATTCCCCAACAAAACTTGAATACTTTAGGCAGGAGTTCTCCATCCCAGCCGATGTTCACCTTAGGCTTGCTGGGGATGGCGATTCCATCATGCCCACAGATCATACGATGCCCTTTCCTATTGTAGCCTTTACTGAATGTGGACTCCGGCTTCCACTCAATCCCCTCTTTCGCGAGGTTCTCCACTTCTATAGGTTAAACCCTATGCAACTTACCATCAATTCTTATCGAGTGATTAGTGATATCATAGCCCTGGCTAGGCAAGAGAACGTTAGGATCACCCTTGCCGATATCCAATTTTGTATTACCATGTGCCCCATTAACCTGAAAGAAAGAGGTTATGTCTACTACCTCAAGCCGAGGTCTACCGAGTTCAAAATTGTAGCCGACCTCCCGGATTCCAACAAGGGAGCCGGGGATGACTTTGTCATTGCTTCGGGAAATTGGGAATTTGGCCCAGACGAAGATGTTCACCTCTACCCTCTTCTTCGAACAGTTAAAGAAAGCAAGGGTAAGAGCCCAGTGCCAATACTTAGTTGTTTCTTTTCCAAGTTTTCTAAAACTCTGTCTGTTTCTAATGTTGGTTTTGTTTGTCTTGCAGATCTTCATCAGCCACCCAAAAACTTTCGTCAATCCTTCTTCCCTGGAAAAGACTTAAAGAAGCTTCTAGAACTTCCAATTCACAAGCGCAAGGCTCCCCTGTTACTAAACTTTATTCCGACATACAAATCCACATTGCCCGACGTTCCAAAGAAAAAGAAGAAAAGCCTTTCTTCACCTACTGCTACAACTATAACCGCTTCTACATCCCGAACAGATCAAGAGTCCACATCTGACCCTATCAATCAACCATCCACTTCGGCCCCATTCTTGATCCCAATACCAGAAAGAAAACGTCGGCGACGCCTTGTCAAAACTGCCGAAATGGGTCGTGCAAAGCCAATTCCGACTGATGCTGATGCTATACCATCCCAATCAATGCCCCCACCGAAGCCAAAAAGAATCAAGAAGGCCCAGCCTAAGGCCAAGGCTGTTGAGGCTGAAGATAGTTTGCCTATCTCAAAACTGGCTGAGAGTAAAAAGACTTCTTCTGCTCCTGCGAAAAAGTCTGCCGAGACCCAGCCCTCCGAGTCTACCCAATCAAAGAAGCCGAGGTCCTCCTCTGCAACGACTTCAAAATCCAAAGTGCCAAACGTCCCTTGGACGCCCGAGATTACCCTGGAGGACAAGCCGGTCATGGCTACTGATAGTGCCGACGACATTAATGTCGGCGTTGCCCTTAGTACAACTCTTCTTCTCCCAGGTGATCTGGAAAAGAATGCTGGAATGAGTGAGTATGAAAATTATGCTTTCATGCTTCAACACCGTGTTCAAGTAAGTGTCTTCACTTGGTGACCTGTCTTTTCTTTATTTGTTTATAAAACTTCTGTAATAACTTCTTGCTTTTGTGTTCTTTCAGGCTGTTCAGCATGCCCACTCCTTCTCCATGCAATCTTTTGAGAACAAGGAGAAGTTAACTGACTTGCAGAAGGAGTATTCTGCACTTCAGAAGATCAACAAGGGCCTTCAAGCAAAAATGAAGAAATTGGAAGACCAGGCCGAGGCTGCCACTAAAGCCCAAACTTTGGCCGAAGAAAAGGCCGAGGCTGCTGAAGCTGTAAAGAAAGTTGCCGAAGCGCAAAAAAATGAAGCCGAGGACAAGGCCACCCAAGCCGAGAAGGAGCTTCAGGAGGCCTTGGCCACCAAAAAGGCTGAAATCAAAGAAGCTGATGAAAAGGCTTATGCGCAGGGCATGGCCAACGTCACTGAGGAGTACAAGCTTCAAGTCAGGCAAGCATGCAACAGGGGATTTTCCCTTGGTTGGATGTCTCTGCTAAAAAGACTTGATCTCCCTGCAGACTCGCCTTTCCGTAATGCCGACGCTATTCCTCTCCCATTTCCTCCTCCAAGTCAGTCCGAAGATGAATTTAGTCTGAGCCTGAGGATGGAGATGATCAGGATGCTGAGGCCTTGATGAAGAAACCCAAGGGTGATGCTGGGGTCAAGTCTCCTTCTCAAATTGAGCCCATCCTGGACTTAACTTTAGATGAAGAGGGTGATGAGGTCGGGGAGGCGCCTAGGGAAGCTGTTATAGGGGTATTATCGTCCGACCTCCTATTAGCTGAAAGAAGTCTTAACAAAACGATTGCAGAGATTGATGCCGAGCTGGCAGCAGAGAAGGCCGCTGAAGTAGTTCCACAGGAATCTGCCGAGGTTCAGACCCAAATTGCTTCTGAAGTAGAAGAATCATAACTTCCATGTTTTTTTGCACTTTTTTGTTTGTTTGGCAATATAGGTTTCTTTGTATGGCCGATGTGCCTTTTTCTGAACAATTTTTCTTATGGACGCCTCAATCTTTTAATGTCTTTTTGATTTGCTTCTACATTTTGCTACCTTTGTGCAATCTCCTCGGGGTTACATACCTCGGGTATAATAACATCAAACTTTATTTCGGCAAGATTCAGTCCTGAAAAACTTTTGAAAAAAATTCCAACAAGTGTTTAACATATACAATTCAATGTTTACTGTAAGTTTCTTCTTAAGTTTCAACAAGTACGTAAACAGTAATTTCGGTTTAACCTACTTGTAAATTGCTGCAAATTTCAACAAGTGTTAATATATACTGTAATGTTTTCTTCAAGTTATAACAATGATCTACTTGTAAATTGCTACGAATTTCAACAAGTGTTTAAACAACATACTTAGCTCTTTCCTCAACCTGTAAATTGCTGCAAATTTCAACAGATGTTAATATATACTGTAATGTTTTCTTCAAGTTATAACAATGATCTACTTGTAAATTGCTACGAATTTCAACAAGTGTTTAAACAATATACTAAGCTTTTACCTCAACCTGTAAATTGCTACAAAT